TATACACCAATACAAATATTGCAAGACAATTTCCAGGGCTGAAATAATAATTCAACCCCATAACGATATGAATAAAAATGTAAAGTAATGTTGACCATATTAAATAAATAAACAAACTGAGAAGGTATTAGTTCTAAAAAAATAATAATAATAAAATGAAAAAAATGGATTCTGGGAATACCCAATATTTGTTAGCTGGAGTAATCTGCTAATAGAATCTTTTTTTATTTAGTTTTGAATTGTTGATGACAAGTGATACTTGAAAGGTCTGGGTGAAGTCCATTGCACGTTCTAACTCCGTTTATGGATCAGCTGTGTGATTTGATGGTTGTTCTACAGGGCTTGCTACACAACCAGTTAGGATGCCTAGCTGGGTATTTCCTGACTGTGGTTTGGAACTGCTTTTGAATGTTAGTAGGCATTTTGTTATGGAAAACGTTGTGCATAATCAGTAGCCTACTGTGTTAAGCTTTACTATGTCAACACATTTTAATAGATTGAGTTTTTTAAATACTCAATAAACAACAACATTGTGTGTTTACAGTACTTCAAATTATTTAAATTTGTGTATGTTTGGACTGCGGTAATATCATTAATTATTTTGTACAGCCATTCATAAAGTTAATGTTAAATATATTTTGATATCAGTGGCTGTAGTTCAACAAGAATCTCACTTTCCCAGCTCACTCATAAAGAGACTGAATTGAATGACAATAATATAGTTTAAACAGGGTGTTGAAGAGTGTCTGTGAGTGTGTTTCAGCTTTATTTGGATTCATGGTGGTTCTGCTTGATGACTCTTGTGTTCACTGGACCAGTTTCCCTCCTCTCAGTCTCTTCACCTCTGCAGCTGCAGCAGGACGCTTTACTTCAGACTGAAGGAGGTTTTTGTACGGCTCTAAATCACTGTGTGAATGCTCCACCATGAGCACCCAGACAATAGTAATCTCCTGCATCACCATCCTTAACGTTACTGATGGTTAAAGTGTACTGAGAACCAGTTCTAGTACCACTGAATCTAGGCTCAGTTCCAGAGAACCTAGTTGATGCTTTGTATATAAGAAGTTTAGGAGCCTGTCCAGGTTTCTGAAGATACCAACTGAGATCAGGACCAATATTAGAGCTCCCTGTAGCGCTGAAGGTCACAGTCCCTCCAGGACTAACAGTCTTGGATGTGTCAGTCTGAGTCAGGAAATTGTTGGCAGAAGACTCTGAAATGAGAAGTGAAATGTTAGATAACCAACAACATGGAGCAGCAGTTTAAATTATAATAGAAAGAGTTATAGACAAAGCACATTGGATGCAAACATGAAAAGGAAAGACACACATTGTACCACACATACATTACTCCTATCAGTTCAGATGATACATTTTCAAAGTCTCTCACCCTGACACAGAAAGCCCAACATGACAAGCAGAGTTACTGACAACATGATCTCCAGTTTTCAGGATGAGTGCAGGAACACGGTTCAGACTCTACGTGACACAAGGCCTTAAAACTGTGAGGAGCAGTGAAGCATTACAATCATGCAAATGACCTTTCACACGTCAAGCAGACACCTGTCCTTGAGAAACAGAGAGAGAGAGGAGGTGGAGGAAGTAGAGGCTACATCTCCCTGTGGACTCATGGAGAACATGTAGAAACTCTCTGTTCCTCAACTCTCTGCTGTTTCTGTCTGTTCAGTTTACCAAAGGCCTCTGTGCTTAATAACATAAATATAAGAGATATACTTTATTGTCCCAGCAGGCTGCCCTCTGCTGGCTGTCCAGGTTCAAAACAACTTCATATTGATGTGAATCAATCTGTTCTCCACCTTGAGCTCTTTTCATGATCCCTTCCTTGGTGCAGGGACCTGGAGCTAAACGCTCTCAATCAGCCCCACCGGCCCCCATCACTCTGTGGGACTCCTAGTCCAGTGGTTCCCAACCTTTTTCAGTCAGGCCCCCAGTGGGTAATTGGAAATATGTTCGAGACCCCCCTAACCCGGTTCCCACCGAGATTGGTAGAATTAATTGTATATAGTTGTACAAACATTACATTTTCTCTGCTAATAATAACAAGACAAAAAGATCCAACTATAATTGTATATTATATTATGGATTGAACATGAACAGAAGTGCTTGTTTTGGCAGATGATCCTGTGCCACTGTGAAATAATGAGGCCGAATTGAAACAATTACAAATACTGCTTATCGATACGGTTCTTTAACAGTATTATTACAGTATAATAACAGGTTATTTTTGTTATTTTTTAGGGGAAAAACTAAACAAATTGGAAACAGAATTACCATTGATTTATTTGATGTATAGTGTGGATTATGGGCTGCTAGCACACATAACATACCTGCAGTGGTGTTAGTAACTAAGTAGATTCACTCAAGTACTGTACTTATATTGAGGTACTTAAGTATTTCCACTTTTGCTTCTTTGTACTTCTGCTCCTCTACAGTCCAGAGGTAAATGGTGTACTTTTACTCCACTACATTTATTTAACACCTTTAGTTACTTTACAGATCTGGATTAATGATGTGAAATATAATCAACTCTTAAATCAGACTTTAGTTACACCTGTAGTAAATTCACAAGCTGCCTAACGCTGCAGTATACTACTTATACTTGATCTGTGTACTTCTCCCACCTTACACGTAATCGGGGCAACAGAACTCAGAGTTAAGGAAGTTTTTTACCAAAACTTAAACGTTGATGAGTGAGAAACTCTAAAAGATATCAAAAAGCTGAATACAAATGTAATAGCTGAATGTTTTGTGACCGTTTCAAAGTTGGAAATGAAGTCTGTAGCTGAAAGTATTCTGAAGGAGCAGCATTTAAACACGGTGTAGGTAAAAGAGGATTTGAAGGATACTCCCATTGGGTTACATTGTACAAATAAAAGTTTAAAAAGCGGTATATTTTAAAAAGTATAAATGTCAAAAACAAGAAAAGTCATAGCACACATGTCCTGAAGGAGCTGGACATTTTAATATGTGAATGGTCTCTGTAGCTGAACGTATGCTGAAGTAGTTAGACGGTGAAATCTGGTTGAAATAATCAATCAATTGGCTGTGAGCAGCTTGTGTCATGTACACAGGCAGGAACTACAGGAAGAAAGCACAATAATAAGATGTGGAAGAATAAAGATTTGAAGAACAATAGTTGAACAGCATTCACACTAATAAGTGTGTTGAATAGTAGACTGTGTGTGGCTTCGCCAGTCACACAGAGTTACATTATTGCACATCATGTGAACAACATCTTGTTCTTTTTCCTTTCTTAATTCTGTGAGCCATGTTCATGCTCAACTCTGACTGCATTTTACACATGTTTGCTCACATGTCTGCACAGCCCTCCACTTTAAATATAATTCACTGTAGTTTGCCATATATTCATTGTCCTAAGTGTTTTCGTTTTTAGCTTTTGTTAAGGTCCTTTGTATATTAAAATTAAAATTTGGTGTAAATACTTATTTATATTATCGTTATATTTTTTACAATCTATGGCAACTTATTTTCTTAGATTGTTTGTGTTCGTACCACCAGACACAAAAGCTAATTCCTTGTATGTGTCAAAGTATCTGGTAATAAACTTGATTCTGATTGTGATGTACGTCTGCTAGTCCTAAAGCCTCTGCTTTGCACTGGTGGTCTCAGGGGGGGTCAGGGGTCAAATCATGTTCAAACTAAATGTCTCTTGGATGTTCCTGCTGTTTTGGGTTTCAATAATGGAACAAAAAAACATTTAAGGAAACTTCAATGAAACTGGTTGTTAGAAAACCTGAAGCTTTTAACTAAGATGTGAATTTGAGGTTAACTGATGGATAAGTTCATTGATTGATGTGAATAAGAGGGTTTTAATCAGCCACCGTTTAACATTTTAAAGACTTCATTAGATTGATCTTTGTCATTTTGAATCAGGATCTTTATAATAATGATGAAATAATAACTCCAGAGAGGCCAGAGATGCTCCTGCTGTGAAGCACACCGAGTGGAGACATGTGGGGAAAAGATAAAGAGCGTTTGTTGTTTTAATTCGGGGAAGCAGAGATCACAATAAGGTTTGTGTATAATGCTGCTTTTACATATAATGTGTTTTGGACTGGGTTTAATCTCATTAATCCATTAACATATGTATATTTAAGAATAAGAAGTGAATAGTGCTGGGTGGGTTCCTGTCAGCTCTGAGTTCAGTGGGCTGTGTCAGTCTCTTCCTCTTCAGCAGCTGCAGGTGGTTCCTGCTGTAACAGCTCAGAGTCTCTGCAGTCTGACTGAGGGAGGTTTTTGTACGACTACAAATCACTGTGTGAACACGCCACCACTGTGGTAACTCTGACAGTAATAAACTGCTGCATCTTCAGCCTTCAGTCCAGTGATGGTCATAGAGAAGTCAGAGCCGCTTCCACTGCCACTAAACCGAGGTTCTGTTCCTGATTCAAGTGTGCTCACTAGTTTTATCAGGAGCTTTGGAGGCTGTCCAGATTTCTGTTGATACCAGGACATACAATCATGAGTTTTACTACAATTGGGATAAACATTGCTGCTGGTTTTACAGTTGAGAGTGACGGTGGATCCTGGAGCAGACGTCTCGACTGCAGGCTGAGTCACAGTCACCTGACCGCTGCATCCTGCACACAAAAACAGATCATTGATTTCTCAGCAGAAAGAAAGGAGAGGAAAGGCAGCACATGATGTTTGAAATGTTGCTGAGTGAATGAACCTGTGAAACAGCAGCAGGCCAGCGTCCAGATGAGGATGGTGATGAGAGTCATGGTGCTTTCTGCTGACTGACAGATGTGAGTCCTGCAGTGTTGAACTCACAGGACTATAAACCTTCTCACTGGAGGATCAGCTGACCATGCAAAGCCTCCTCTCTATGGAAATGATTTCTCTGCTCTCAGCACACTGAAGGCAACGTGGGACACGAAACCAGGAGGAAAGCTGTCTGGATTTACACCGTCTATCATCTGAATGGAAGAACATATTTATATCAGGAGTGGAGATGAGGATTTGAGTTTGTGTCCACTGTGGTTGGTATGATATGTCTGTTTGTCTGACATTAACATACATACAGAGATTCACTGTAGATAAATAACATGTTTCAGTTCTGTTTCAAATACATTTGTTAATAACTATTATTTAAAAGCCTCATGTTCATTTAACCGTGTAGAAACTAATATAAAACTGACAAAGTTAGTTGTGTAGAAGACTGTAATGGTTTCTCTGCCAGGTGTAGAAAAGTGATGAAAAATGACATAAATCATATTAATTCTTCCAGATATGTAATCCATATCTTTAGAAAAGCTTTGTTTATTTAAAACCTGTATATTTGTCTCTGTTATCAGTGAGATCAGGGAGCTTTCTCAGTGATACATGCTTGTTGACAGTGCAGGAGGTTTTTGTACGGCCACTTAATGAGTTTGTATCACTGTGGTACACTTTTGGTGGAGGAACCAAACTCATCTTTCACTGTAAGTACCAGAGATTTGTATTTTCTAACACAAAACATTACATTTACTTTTGCATCAGAATATGATAAATCAAGACATTATTTGGGATAATATACATTATGTTGATATTTTTTTACATCTATAAAGTTTGGCTGAAGAATTGAAAAACATTAAGCGAAGTTAGTTTTATTTTAATATTGAAGAAGATGTCACGGTGAATTATATGTACGTTTTACTTTTCTTTTTTAATAAGATATAAACACATTTTTAGCTCACAATTGACCAAAGAACAGCTGCTATGTCATCAAATCTAAGTGTGATTTACTTTCAAATTGTAATATATGTGAACATTTAACAAGTGTTTTTTATAAAATCTGCTGAGGATCCGTTAAAACTAATTAAAGTGTATTTGTGTACATTCAGAGTCGCTGCAGGGTGCGTTCACAGTCCGTTAGTTTCAAAGAGTTCAAAGGAAGTGAAACAAACAGATGACAAAGTCTTCAACTGTAGAAGATGTTACATTTTGTTTTTCTTAACAGTCAATTATTGCAGAGATTAGTTATTCATTCTGAAACATTGTAAAGCAGAGATAAAGCTTTTCATATAATGATCATTGCATTAACACCTTCATTACGTTGCATACTTTCATGTCACTCTTAAGGAGTTTTGATGAGTGCCAAAGAAGAACATTCATTATTTTAAATGCCAGAATGATATAAAATATCACCGTTTTATTTTATGAATGAAACCCTCGTGTTCTCCCATGCCTCAGCTCCTCTTGTGATCACAGCTCATGCTCACAGCTGACCCCCAGTTTCTCTGTCCTGTGCCTTCAATGTATAATTCTTGTTATGATGAGAGCTACAGAATAACACTCTAACTCCAAACATCAAGTTTTAACATTTTATTTGATTCATTAAACCCTACTTTCCTTCCTCATTCTGTTTGTTCTGGACTATTTGAATGTTTTTAAAATATGTTTTATCGTTTTATGTCCTACATATTTGTATGTTGCATTGTTGGAGGAGCCTTGGGCTTTTCATTGCCTTATCTACATTGCCTATAAGCAATATGTGCAATATATATATATGCCGTTATTAACTGTGCAATATACACCTGGCTGCTGAATCCTCAGAACTGTTACAGGATGTGTATTTTGTAAATTGTGTAACTTTTTATTTTATTTTTTATTATAACTTTTTTTAACTTGAATACTTGTGTATGCATGCTTCTACGTAACATGAAGCTGTCTTTGGCTCTTTTCTGCTGTAACAGCGTGAATGTCCCCTCTGTGGGACTACTGAAGGTATTCTGATTCTGGTTCTGATTCACTGCAGCTACTGTGCATATGACAATAAAGCCTTTGAATGTTTGAATGTGTCCTGTATGGACTCTGTCTCACAGCGTCTGTCCCTCAGTGGAAGTGAATCTGCTCCTTGTGTCTCTCTCCCCTGCAGCGGGCGCCATGCTCAGGCCCTCCGTCTCTCTGCTGGCCCCCTCCTCCTCTGAGCAGCTCTCTGGGGGCTCGCTCACACTGGCCTGCCTGCTGACCGGCTACTCTCCTCAGGGAGCCGTGGTGAGCTGGGAGGTGGACGGCACAGAGGTGACAGAGGGGGTCCTGAGCAGCTCGGAGGAGGAGAAGAGCGGACGCTACAGCAGCAGCAGCAGCCTGAGCCTGAGCCAGGAGCGCTGGATGTCAGGAGAGCTGTACTCCTGCAGGGTCCTCCATCATGGCCACGGCCAGACCCAGTCCCTCCGCAGGAGCCGGTGTGAGGGCTAGAGGGGCCGCTGGAGCCCAGGAGAACACATGCTGCTCTGATCATCAGGAGTTTTAATGTTTGTAGAGGAAAGTGAAGCTTTGTGTGGCCGAGAACAACACTGCTGTAAAGTGTTGGACAGCAACAACTCAGAGAGTGATGTGTGAAGCTCAGCAGAGATGAGAGTGTGCTTAGTAACTGTCATGTTGATGATTCAGGATGTTCCTAATAAAGCTTTCTCTGATAAATAACATGATGAAGTGTTTGGTGTTTTATTTAAAGTAGTAGGACATTAAAAGGTTTTATAACATACTGCACTTCTATCTGCAGAACAAGATAAAGCTTTGGATATTTATTTTTGAATTGGCAATGAAATTGACGTGGTGGTGAAGGAAAGTTACTACACTGTTTTATGGTGATTAAGAATTTGATCCTAATGTGAACTTGATTTTTAGTGAGGCAGAAAGTATATGGCTCATAAATAAGATCAGCCTTTAATCTGAGCTGAGAGTGGATATTTAGGTTTTTAAGAATTGATTTCTTCAACTTAATGTGAATATGGAGTTAGTGTTTGGTGAAGTTCCTGTCAGCTCAGCGTTCAGGGTGACAATAATATAGTTTAAACAGGGTGTTGAAGAGTGTCTGTGAGTGTGTTTCAGCTTTATTTGGATTCATGGTGGTTCTGCTTGATGACTCTTGTGTTCACTGGACCAGTTTCCCTCCTCTCAGTCTCTTCCCCTCTGCAGCTGCAGCAGGACGCTTTACTTCAGACTGAAGGAGGTTTTTGTACGGCTCTAAATCACTGTGTGAACACGCCACCACCATGATCACCCAGACAATAGTAATCTCCTGCATCACCATCCTTAACGTTACTGATGGTTAAAGTGTACTGAGTACCAGTTCTAGTACCACTGAATCTAGGCTCAGTTCCAGAGAACAGAGTTGATGATGAGTATATAAGAAGTTTAGGAGCCTGTCCAGGTTTCTGAAGATACCAACTGAGATCAGCACCAATATTAGAGCTCCCTGTAGCGCTGAAGGTCACAGTCCCTCCAGGACTAACAGACTTGGATGTGTCAGTCTGAGTCAGGAAATTGTTGGCAGAAGACTCTGAAATGAGAAGTGAAATGTTAGATAACCAACAACATGGAGCAGCAGTTTAAATTATAATAGAAAGAGTTATAGACAAAGCACATTGGATGCAAACATGAAAAGAAAAGACACACATTGTACCACACATACATTACTCCTATCATTTCAGATGATACATTTTCAAAGTCTCTCACCCTGACACAGAAAGCCCAACATGACAAGCAGAGTTACTGACAACATGATCTCCAGTTTTCAGGATGAGTGCAGGAACACGGTTCAGACTCTACGTGACACAAGACCTTAAAACTGTGAGGAGCAGTGAAGCATTACAATCATGCAAATGACCTTTCACACGTCAAGCAGCCACCTGTCCTTGAGAAACCAAAGTGCAGTTGAGGTGAGTTTTAGATACGGTTTAACATCTCTTGAACATCATTTGGTCATTCAGAGTCACTCTTAAATGTGAGGGTAATGCTCTTCTAGGTACGTTCTTTTCTTTGCAAACATCTCTCCTTGTTTCCACTTCTTTCTTAAGTATCTCATGAACAGTTTAACAGTTCCCCCGCTGGCAAATCCATCTACATTGAACACAATATCCACTGAGTGTTTGATTCACTAGGATGTCCCTTCTTGTTATCAAATCCATTCCTTAAAACAGAAGCCTCAGATTGCTTAAGATAAGGGGAAATATTAAGTATATATTTCAAGCTTGTTATGCAAATATTTGAAAGGTGGGCTTATTAATACATGAATACTACTATGTAATATATGTCAACATATATATTTAAGAAGTATAATATAAGACAAGCTGAAGTTTCAGGTGTGGGAAATATTCCAATATACTTTTAGAATTGGCTTAGGGTCAATTAAAATGTACAAGACACCCCTGATCTATGCATTTTATTGTATTGCCTGGTTAATAAATGTGCAACACAGTACTAGTCACATAGTGTCACACTGTAGATCCTGTTTTACATTAATCTCTCATCAGAGATGGCCTTTTTTTCTTAGTGACTATGTATATAATTGAACATCTGGATTAGGAAAGGGGAACATTTGAGTTTCACTTCCCCTCTGACTGGGGCTCATCATGTAGTTTCTGTACGTTTGTGCCGGTGGTGCGTATCAGAACCTCAGGTCAGGTCACAGCTCAGCACTCTGTACGCTGTTTCATACGAGGGAGGTTCTGTATGACTATATGAGGCCCACATTAGCTCCCATACAGCAGTCACTTCATGCATCTTCAGCTCATCTTCAGAGTGACTTTCATTTCAAATCCACTACAGCTCCGAGACAGAGAAATAAAACATAGCTACTGAATGTAAACTATTTTATATGAAGAACAGTTTGAACATTAAACTAAACTAACCCGATGTATGTAAAGGCTGGTTAATGCACTCTCTGTAAACTCAAATCAGTATCTCACCCTGGATGTAGACTACCAGTACCAGCAGTAAAAACAGCAATAACCTTATTTAAAAACTGGATAATTGTGCATCAAGCCCAACAAATCTTCTCTGCACTGTAAAAGATGCTGCTCCAAAATCAAGTAAAAGAATATTGAAAACAAGTTGTTTTCACTTGTAATAAGGAAAACAATCTGCCAATAGAACAAGTGAACATTTGCTTGGCTAGATTTCTTGGAATAAGACGGGATCTTTAGATAAAGGAGATCTTGTGATTAGCTGGTAAAACTTATTTTGAACTATATCTTACCAGGATCAGTAAATGTTGTGTTACAATATAAGCCTGAAATGCTCAAAGGTTTTCAGTTGTCTGATGTTAGTTGTTGATTTTCCAATAAGAATGAGTTTTCTTTTTTAAATCAAGTAAAATGTATTTGTTAAAACAAGATGAACCATCTTTTACAAAAACCACAACAGCTTAAAACACTTGTTTCATTTGAGAAACAAAATAAGATGTTTTCAAGAGTCTTGAAGATGCATTGTCTAAAAACAAGAGCCTATTTCTCACTGCATTGTTACCTCTTCAGTTATTAGGTCTTATATCGAGTGTAAAGTCATATTCTGAAGATTTTGAGTTTTTACAGTGTGAGAGTTGTCTGTGTTACATCTGCATAAAAAACAACAATGCTGCCCTCTTGTGTCAACATAGGAGAATGTAGAGACATTTGAATTTTTCACATCGTGCACAGAATCTGAGATACAGTGACATAAAAGTCCCTTCTTTATCGGAGCAAAGTTCTCTTGTGAGTCTTTATCGCTTTGCAGTCGCCCTGTATAACAATCTAGAGTCTTTCTGTGTCTCTTTGTAGTTGTTTTGCCTCTTTATGAAGTAATGTAGCACTTCTTTGTGGCGTCATGCCTCTTTCTCATCATTTTGCATTTCTTTGTGGACTTGTTGCGTCTATTTTCTCCTCTCTCTCTTTGGTCATTTTGTCTCTAAGTTGCATCGTGCATCTCTTTCCATGGCTTTATAAAACTTTTTTTTTTTTTATTTAACCTTTTTTAAAGGTGGGGTAGGTCATTTTGGAGAAACCAGAAACCAACGTGTGCTAGAATTTGAAAATACACAGCCGGAAAAAATCTGCCACTTCCTTACAGAGCCCCTCCTCCAACACACACGAACGCGCACATGACCAATGAGGGCACGAGATAAGTTTGTGAACAGATGGAAGGCTGACAGGCAGGTAGGCCATCCAGTTATTTTAGCCGGACCAAAAATGATTGGTCGTGCTTTTTACAGTACTACGGCTTCCACAGATTAAATATTTTTATGGATTTTTTTGTCAAAGCACTTAAGATATTCATTGCTATCGGGATGTTAAGAGCATTCCATGGAATATAACAAAAAGTGTATCTCGAGCCGGTTTCTCAAACTTACCTACCCCATCTTTAACCAGATGAAAACATTGAGACAAAATCTCATTTACAATGCTGACCTGGCCAAGAAGGCAGCAATGTTACACGTTCTTACACATAACACTGACATATAAAATACAGAGAACACAACTAAGTAAACAAAAGACGAAAAGCAGTCACTACATTGTGCACATTTGGGACAGTAAGAAAGGTGCACTACTTATTACTGCAAGAGCAGCTGGTGGTAAGGACCTCAGACAACTTCAATTTAAAACAGGCTATAGGGACAAGTGCCCTCAGTTTGAGGCTTGATTGAAGGTCTTTCCAAGACCAAGGACCATAATAAAAAAGACTCCTTTTTCCAGTCTCAGTCCGCATGGCAGGAACCTGGAACCGTATCCAGGCACTGGTTCTGAGGTAAGAGTCACAAACTGGAGCAAATCTGGCACATATATACAGTGGAAGCTTTCCTAAAATGGCTTTATAATAATAAAAAACATTGCTGCATCCTACGCATACTAAGTGAGGACCATCCAGTTAGGCTATACAGTTTTCAATGATGAGTCCTTTCGGGTGCATTTGATATGTATCGCAGTGCAGCATGGTAGAGTGGGTCAAGTTTGGCCAAAACAGTGGGACAGGCAAATCTATAGATTGTATCACAGTAGTCAAGCTGGGACAGGAATAAGCCAGAGACCAACCTTTTACGGGAAGAAGTTGAAAAACAACGTTTAAGTCTGTAAAGGAAGCCAAGAGTGAATTTCAATTTCTTAGTTAGAACTTCAATGTGGTGTTTAAAGTTTCGATTTCTGTCCAACCAAAAGCCCAGATATTTGTATGTGTCGACAAACTCAACAGAGACGCCAGCAAGGGTGTCAATGGAGGACGCTGACTTGGGAGCAAAGAGCATTGCTTTGGTTTTCTTACCGTTCAATAGCAGTTTAGAATCAAGAAGCGCATGCTGCAGCGTGATAAAATCAGATTTTAAATTGGAAACGGCCATATCCAGAGAAGGAGCACATGAGTATAAAATAGTGTCATCAGCATACATATGATAGGTAGAAAATTGCATCTGATTACAAATATTATTTACATATAATAAAAAGAGCAAGGGCCCCAAAATAGAGCCCTGTGGAACTCCCTTCTCCAAGGTGACAGGGTCAGAGACAGTACTACCCAACCTGACGCATGGAGTACGGTCGGTTAGATAACTCTGAAACCAGCAAATGGCGTTATGACCGAAACGAGACTCCAACATAACATTAGACAGAATATGAAAAACCTTCTCAGATAAGATGGAAAGAACCAACACCGGTGTGATTTTGGTGACAGTACAACT